CACATTATGCCGAAAGCATCATCAGCTGGTGAAAGAACCACATGTGATACGCGTTTTCTTATGCATCAGAAGCATCCAGCATAGGTACAACGGATATTTCGCGATTTCATGATTGAGCTTCGAACCTACTTTTTTGTCGTGATCAAATTATTACATAAGATTAATTACATAAAATGCCCCTTTTAACACTATCGACTTTAATGAAAAAATTATAGAAGGGCAGTACTGAATTAAAATTCCAATAATTTTTCGATGGATCGTTTGCAATCAGATCTCATTGTAATCTTCATAGTAAATGTCGATTTGCACCTATAAAAATGACAAGAGCCAGAGCCTTCCACATCGAACCTGTAAAAATATCGAAAATTGGATTTTCACGATCGAAATCATCTGTCCTATTACAGTACAGCATGAAACAATGCTGCCATTCGAAAGTTTCATGTTAACACAATCGTACTGTATATAGCAACAACTGAGACTGAAACAATGTTTCCTGGAGAATCTAAAATGCATCCTTACAGCTTCACATCAATTCATAACACACATGATACGATCAAGATTTTTATTCTGGTGACGAAGTTCCAAGGACAATATAACGATAAATTATTTATCTGAACGTTGGGTGCACGTTTCGAGCAACTGCATTATTATCAGTCTTAGAGAACGGATCCATACGAAACAAACGATTTGAATACAGATCGAGATACGCCGTGATAATTCTAACAAGCCATAAACCGTATGGAGTTCAAAAAATTTGGCCTTACATACTTCTTGTATGTAATGCGTACTACCGAGGAACATAGTTTCAAATTTTTGGTTCAAGTACATAAAAGCTATGGTGGGAACGGCAGAGTCTGAACCAGGCATGATCGTGCACTTATTATTGGCACACACTGTACACGGCTCACATGCAGCCACTCATCCAAATGAAGCTCGTCAGTTCCTCAGGATATGTTTTGGTTTCATCAAGAAACACGTCAATGCTACTTTTCCAGCGCATGCTCCGTGGGCGCAAGATTTCGAAATAAACCTGTCCTGAATTTCACGAGAGTATAAATAAAAATATATACTCGCCGCAGTAATAATATCCCTTCAAAACATCACATATTAAAGAACGAATACATCTTTGTGTCTATATTTTAGTTGCTTCTGGTCATATAGTCTCAGGGAATCGCGGCATCGCATTCACAAACGATATGAACCCATTCAGAATAGCGGAGGGCGTTATACTGAATTATTAATACAGCACTATCCAGCAAGATGCTGCAAGGAACTTGAAAGCAGGCTTTTGGGAATTCCGGTCTTGTGGAACCCACATCTCCACGACGTCTGTGTTTAAGGGGCAATGAGGAAAAATAGTGGCATTCTAGGAATCGACCCCTGATTCACCTCCGAAAGCTCTTCACCCAAATATGTCCCAATGAAGAACCCTGCTCACGTATGCTGCTGATGCTTTTCTTTGTGTCCCGACCGTAGGCGAAATGACGACATGATTAGCGAGAAAATTAAAAAACACGCAACATCTCGATATATTACGTTGCGAATATATGTGAACATACATTGTCAAAAAAGATAGATATCTATCAAGTATGCAAGCGTATTCATGAATGCAGTATGCCAGCATATACGGTAATCTTCAAATTCAGACCGCTTAGGTGTTTAGTATTTCCATGATATTTGAGATACAGATACATATTTTCGCCGCAATGTTTCAACGTAGTAGTGCGTGATAAAGCATTGCAAAACGACCATCCGTCGCGTGAGAAATGAGACCATGATACTTGATGATTTTCGCATTCAAGCGAGAGGAGAACCTAACTTACCAAGCACACATGCACGAAGAGAGCCGATTTTTCCCAAATCCTGCGACTGAAAAGCTGACGCTAGCTCAGGTGGTATATATACAATATCTCTGACAGATTTGCTAGATCTTGTCTATATACAACTATTGATGCGAATCAAGTCATCGAGGCAAACAATTAGTATCAAACGTCACTTCACAGCATCCACAATAAAGAAAAGCCCAGCGGGAAGTGATTGTATTCTATAGAAAACTATATGGAAGGAACACAACATACGCGCGTTCATCACTGCTGTTAAACTTCATTCTAACACTGCGTCGAACTATTTCACTAAGTTCCAAACACTAATCACACTATACAAAGTAGTCCTATAGAAGAATAAGAGGTGAAATAGTTTCAATTGCAACAGGAAACGTAAGTATATCTACATAATCGGGAATCATGGGCTACTTTTACTTATTCCGATTAATAGCCGAATCGTCGCGTCTACAGCACGTATACCAGAAGACAGTTGGTGGTTCATTCATCAGCTATATAGCTTGCATTGTACACTATGAACATGATGTTTTGAACCACGATGAGGTTTGAAGAAGACTACGAATACATCGAGTATAGCGCTGTAAAAATCCGCACACTTTTATGATCACCAGCTTCAGAACTATGTAAGACAGGTTATTACTCTTCATCAAATAATGGGTCTACAGCAATCACTGCAAAAATCATGAAGAAACGAATACCGAAAAAAGTCGGCAGAAGCGGGTTCTTGAAGTACAGGGAATCAGTTAGAAAATGAAGGACTATAGGAAGGAAGACGATCTCTGGTCCTGACAATGATGTGAAGCGCGAGTGTTGGAGCAACAAGCAGACAGGAGAACGCCGTGTTGCTGCCCCGTCTCTTCCTTGTCTGGCGCGATTGCGGAGCAGGAAGTTGGAATATAGCTTTTTGCCCCGCGCTTTCTGTTCTGGGCACATCATACTGTACTGTTGTACCTTAGTCTTATACAGTACAGTACTGCGCAAGGGTACGGTGATGCGGTTCGTGATGCGACGTTATGGTACAACTTCCTTTAAACGCCGCTTTATTCACAGCTATCTCTTCCACGCTTCCTTATGAGCGCCAGTCTCTCATTGAGTGACTTCAACTGCAATGATTTCGAGGTTTATAATTTATACCAAGACTCCCAGGACAAATAACAATGCACATATACAAACACTTTTTTTAAATAAATGAAATATATTATCTAGGGAAACTCTAATGTACAAATAACAGAGTAAATAAAAAACATTTTCAAAATAAACAATTTTGAATATCCAAATAACATTGCACAAATTATGTGAATAAAAATGTCAAGAACGTTTGTCTAGTCTGAATATCCAATAAGATTTCTTACTACAGATGACATGACAACTGAGCATAAGAAAAATGTTGAATATCACCTTTGTCAGTATCTTAAGCAGCAGGGGAACACATCCATTTCCAAATCTTGAATTATGTGAGTAAAAATGTAAGGGGTGTTTGGTGAGCACCACCATGAACACAATGGCAATTTTGAAGGTTGGTTTTTTCAGAAATAAATATACAATACATATAATTTATTACTGGTTTACATTATGGTGAATGGAGTATTTAATACCAAATTTGTACAGGTACAGCAGTTATGGTTTTCAATATTCTTTGAATAGTCTTTACATTGTTTGAATGTATACATTTATTTGAACAGTATTTATATCAGTGAAATACTCTTAATAAATAAAAAACATTTATAAAAATACATATAAATATTTGTATAAATATATCACAGGAAATATGAATGCTGTAAAAATGTAACTTAAATGTGAATTTATTGAAAGGGAGTGGAACATTAATTGAGCAAATTAACCCTTGCCTCCAAGTTCTGCATTTGAGACATTTGAGAAGCAATTTTAGGCCTAGAGTATCACCAATTTAATTTCCTGCAGTTCTTCATCATTCTTTTTCTCAGCAAAATTATTTGAGAAACTACCAACTTTGTTGTAAATAACCTTTAAAATGAAGAGCATATAGTACCAACATATATTTGAGAAGAGCAATTACTTAATTATTATGCATTGTAGTTATTTTGTATAGATGTCACCTTTGCATGAGCTTCCAAAATGTCACTTTTCATGAGGTAAACTTTTCATCTTTTCAAATCAGTCAAAAATAGTGTGTATTTTGGTATGTTTGAAAAATTTATATTGCTATACTTTATTGACGTTTTGGATGAAATTGGGTATTGCACTCTTTTTGTTGAAATTTTGGTACTTTCCTGTTATCTCAGTACCCATTTTTCTTTGTCTCATGAATTCAGTATTCATTAGGTTAGGTTAGGTCAGGTTATGTTAATTGAAGGATATTTGTAACTAACATAACCTTCTAACTTTACCTAACTGCCTCCCAAAATCAGTTTCAGCAGAATGTGGAAAAATGAAATTCACAGTTTCTGGTAGGTGCACAGAAAGTAGGTACTGAGATAACAGGAAAGTACTAAAATTTCTAATTGCTCTTTGAATTTAAATGCATAAATAACCTACTCCAGTATACAGATTCATCAGAAAATAAGCCATGCATTCACATTTATTACTACAGCATTTAGTGGTGTCACATTCAAATAATTAATTCTCAGAAAAAAATAATTCTTTTCTGGCCATGTTTGGAAATTATTTGCTCAAATCAGCAGTAGTGATGGAATACCTTTGAATGTGTGCACCATTTTTGGCCACCACTAAATGCTACTCATAAAACAACAAGAATAAAACAATAAGAATGCTGCAAGATCATGTGTTTAATAGTACAGTATGTTATCTTCCCCTGCCATTTTTCAGCATGTAATTCCTATCTTCAAGCATGTGCAGTTCATAAAGTCACTCATTCATGGCTTCCAGGGACGGAGTGGAAGGGAACAGCCCTCTATGGGGGCAGGGTGGAAGTGAATGGTGTTGCGCTAGAAAGTGTACCATAACGTTTGGTCACCTAGTTGGCCAGCACCATGGTAGGCATTGAGGTGATTCTTCTGTGGCTAAGTGCTGATTGGTGCAGGCCGCATTCTGTGCGAAAAGGTCTAGGAAAGTCTTAGTGTATGAAAGTGCATGACTTCGAGAAAATGTTTGGGGCCAGTACCATACTGCCCCCAATATTTACCAGGCGTGAAGAATACTGTGGTGACGTTGTGTAGGTCGTCCATGCGTTGAACTTCGCTGGAACATACATTAAATCGACTATTGCTGTTCTTTGTAATTTTCATCTAGGCGGACCTTATGACAGTCAACGGTATTACATGATTAATCAGAATTTTACTTTATTCCGAAAGGTTGATGCGCATGATACTTTGTTGAGCGAATTTTAAATTGACCATTTCTGGTTAAGCTTGTGTGTAATAAGTGTGAAAGGATGACTTTCGACCTGGAAGATCTTGTTCTCAAGGCCAAGAAAAAAAGAGTCGCAATTGGAATCATCTCTGAGACATATGTCGATTCGGCTGAATATGACGACGAAGATGAAGACATACAAAAACTTAAAGCGGGTCAATGTAGAGTCGCTTGGCTTCCGCGTGGCGTTGAAACTATTGAGGATGAAGCAAAGGTAATTGTGGAAGTCGATTGCAGTCGCCTGTTTCCTGCAATCCCTGCCTATTTCTCCCTCTTTTCAGCTTGTTCTGGGTGATAAGAGTATGATGCCTTCGGATACCGTTGAAAAGGTCAGCTCTCCTGGAAGAAAAGGAACTGTTCTACGTGTGGGTGTTACCGCCTCAGTTCGGCCTCTAATTCCATATGCGTCTCAGTCGTTGAGCAGCGGTTGGGTGATATTAAACGTTCCAGATGATCGCCTGAATCCCCTGTTAGATTTTGCCGAAGGAATAGTCGTTAGCTATGAATCGTGCTTCGGAACCATCAGTCGTGTTTCTGTACGGGTTTATGCGAAGGTCAATTGCTCGTGGGATGTTAAAAACGTTGAACGACGTTGTTGGATACCAGAGTCAATTGCACTTGACATGGAAGAAATTGGCGGAGGCAACGAGGACGACGAGGTATGCTTCACCGTTACAGAAAAGTCCGTCTGATTTTGCTCTATTTTCATCGCGTGACACCTGGTAGTTTTCGATTTTGGTGTGAATGTTTGATCCAATTGAATCCGATGTGCGTGTATTATCACTGTTTTAGGAATATGAGTTGGAAATGTGCCCATTTCGTCCTGGTCAACATCTCACTGGCTCGTTCAAGCAACTGATGGAAAATGCGACGTGGCTGACCGCGCCTCCGCCGCCACCCACTGCAAATGCTTCGAAAACATCTTTCGCTACGCGGAAGCGCGTTTTCCGATCCCGTGAAACTCATCTCATGGTTTATGATGTTTGCGTCGATTATGTTTCTGTTTCATGGAATACTGATGATGGGAGAGTACCACCTCCACCAAGGATTTCTGGGGAACTCCTGAAGAAGTACGTCAATTCTTGTAAAGTTGGAAGTGTTCATCATTTTGTCGTATTGTGAAGGTTGAAAAAAACTCACGTGAACGAGCAGTCCGCTGTTCATGCCGGCATTTTGAGGCGATACGTCGTAAAAGCAGACGATGTTATAATTCCCGCGGATGAATGGAATAAGTCGCTGAGGCAGAAGTTTCCCCCTCGTGCTTCTGACGTCATTGGTGATGTAGAAAATAAATGTGATGAAGACTCTCCGAGCGAACCTGCTCCAGAACCACCACCACAAGCCTCCGGAGAGACCCGTAGAGATGACGATAGTTCTGAGTGGGTTACAGAAGATGCAATTGAAGATGACGAAGAGCTCGATTCTGAAGAAATCAAGTCGCCCTCTAAAAATCGAGGGAAACGGCACGCAAAACCGTGTAAGCGACACGGTTTCACGAAGCAGCACAAAATGTTTTCTGGGAGGGAGGTTCCGAAGCCGAAATCTGGCGATGAACTCGTCGTCGAAACAGTGTTCACGGAGACCGAAGTCGACGTGAAGTGGCAGGTACGGCTCGAAACAATTTTTTACCGTACATTTTCATGTTCGAACTGAGTGAAAAACGTGATTCGTTAAACCAATGAAGTTTCGCTGTCATTTTCAGTCGCAAAAATAAAATGCTCCCATTTTAGGAACTCTTCGTGATCTCTTTTCTTCGTTACAAAATGAATTTTGAGAATTCTTTTAGTAAAATGTATGAAGAGACTTGTTGATCGTTGAACGCTAGGCTGGTGTAGCCTTGAATGAAAATGAATTCATATTTTGAGAGTTGGACGTTTCTTTCAGGACACAGAGATCGAAAGAAATTTGATGTCCAACGACTTGACTGCTGTGCAACACTTGGATGAACACGAGCTATTCCCTGGAGATTTCGTACAGCCCGCAGAAGGTTTCCAAGCTCCAGGCCACTACGGTTACGTTTTGTCAGTTGATCATGCTGAACGTACCGCAAAGGTTGTGTGGTACGAAAATTTGGACTCGGATAATCCGGGAGAAGCCAAGGAAGTATCCAGGGAGGAAGTGAGCGTTTATGACATTGTGGAAAATCAAGTATTAAGGCTGACCCTGGGCACTGTTGTGATGATTCCTCGTGAGGGAAACGAGGAACCTTCGGTCGGTCAAATAACGGAGTTACGAGATGACGGGAAAGTGTCAGTCCAATGGATTGACAAGTCGGTTACCGATCAGTGGCCGTACGAGCTTAAGAGAATCGGTGAGAATATTCGTCACTGAAATGAATGTGAAAATAGGAATCATTTCTGGCAGCATCTCCGATTTCGCACCTGGAGGATGTCAAATTTTTAAAAATTGAACGGAGATTCTTCTGAGTTAAATTACTTACTTATTTCATTTAGGCGTAATTTTATTACATGGTTAATAAAATTAACCATGTAGAGGTTGATCGGGTCCATTTAATGCACGTTTTATCTGAATAAAGTCTGTACTGTAGTTTTATAGCTCTTCAACTCCCATCACTGTTCACGTCAAGTTCAAGTAGTCTTTTCAGATGTTCGTCTTGTTAATGTTTGATCAAATCGGTATTATTTACTTGAGAGCTCTCCCGAGAAATTTTTATCGGTTAGCCTTGAAAAAAAATGCGTGGTCAGCCACAGACAATAAGTTTGCTGATCTAATTTCCACTCCTATAGGAATCCATCGAACCTTTATCGAATCAGCCTTCGCGCGACTTTTGGGCGCCTGTCCGATTGCGAGCTGATCTCGAAAATGGGGTCTATTCATTATTTTTGATGTGGGCCGTCCATGCTACGTGATGATTATGAATTCTAAAGAATTAAGAGTTGAGTTTGCGCTTAGTTTCTAGGCATTGTAAATTTTTATTAGTTCAGGTATTGGATACAAGTATTTCCTACGTAAAATTAGCCTTCGTGCAATTTTTCGAGAATAAAAACCTTTTTTGGGATTTTTTTTAACGACATACTTTTTACGTAGGAACTTCTTCACGATGTAAGATCTTATGAAATGCATTACATATATGGTGCCCAGCAGTTCTGGCCTTCGTGTGCATGTTGTGGGTTTTTTCAAGAACGCATTTATTCACGGACTAGATTGTGCGGCGCGAATGTTTGTAGGCGATTACGATTCGGATGAAGGAGGGCTGTGGAGCGCTGGTGCTGACATCTCATCAAGTTTATCATCGTCCTCGGAAAATTTGGAGAAAATGGACGACGGCGATGACTCCTGGTGTACGGCATCTGACACGAGCGAAGACCGCGATGAGCAATTTAGTGCAGATGTGGATGATGGTGGATCTGGTTCCTCTTTCTACCCGATTTCGAAGCATCCTGGATTGATGGATTTGGATTACAAAGGCACAAAGGAAGAAAATCCTTCTTACAAAGTCTTCAAAAATAAGTGAGAAATCTATTTTCAATCCTCTCATCGTCAGTATCCTGATTACTGAAGACTGACATTTTTGCTTTGTTTTTCCGAGTTGCTTTAAAAAAAATTATGAAATGTTCTGCAGGTTTGTTAGAAAGGTTGTGGCGATGGAGCGTGTGCGTGATCGCATTTGGACGATGGTTTCTCAGCATCCGAAGGATGCCAATCCCGATGCTTACAACGGCCTTCCACTGCTGGACCTTCCGAAAGTTTGTCGTGATTGCTTGTAAGTGACTATTTAAATTACTATGTGATGCTCTCAGGAAATATTCTGTAAAAAATAAAGTAGCTCATCGATTTAATTTTGCTTTTATGATCTACTGGATGCGCACCCGAATGCCGATTTTTTCGTCCGATGAGATCACGACTGACGCAATATGTCCTCTTCTTCGCAGACTCTTGGATGAAATCATGGGACAGAAAACTTTCAGCCAGCGAGAAATCAACTGGCGACCCTTCACCGAATTGAGAAAACACTTCGACCGGAACACGTTGGAAGGTTTTGCTGATGGTGCTCCGGAATTGATAAATTTTATTGCTTGTGCCGACGCACTTGAAGGGAAACCAAATATGAAAGGACATGTACCGGAGAACGCTATGATCATCGATTTGAATCGTATCTCTAAGAACCGAGTTCGAGCTGGGGTCGTCAAGGTGTTCGGTGGTGAGTAATCCAACTGAGTATTTTTTGCTAAGTTTTTCTACTGTGTATAATGCTGCGAGCTCTTATCAATATTTATAATAATGTATTGTTATTTGGGATCTTTTTTCTTGAACGGTCGATGTCCCTTGGTCTGAGATTAAGATTTACTCCTCTGTTACTTAAACGCCGGAATTTGGTCTGATCTCGTCTTGGCAAAGTCGCGTCAGCTATATTAGGTTAAATCACATGATGTTATTCTAACTGAAGTTCTTTTTTCTCACCAATTTGCTTTTTGCCAGATTGCAAGGTCGCCTGATGCACTTGATTTTAAATCTCGAGAAAACTCTCAAACCTGAAACCATTATTCATTTCTTGTTCATTGAATATTAGAAGCTGTTATTCTGTATTGAAATTCCACACTGTGTGGAGACTTAACCCCTCTGGTTTTTCAGAATCGATGCGAGCACATGACCCCATTTGGGTGCAGTTCGCCGAAGATGGAACCCCAGTTATACCCAGTGAAGCTTCCAAAACGGGAAATATAACTGCTGCTGTGTTTCCCGGACTGCCGAGCAAAGTTAAATGCATTCTCATGGCATGGTTACGCGAGCGGTTGTTCCAGGCTTCGTATCATATTGTGACACATTTTGACTCGAACAACATCATGGATGCAGACGAGTTCTTTCCCGTTGCTTCACTCAAGGATGACAATCTTGTCCTTGATGAAGACGCTGAGCCTGAGGCTGCAGGCGAAGCTGAGCCAGAATCTCCGAGTGGTGTCATGGAAGAGTCCGAACCGGTATCCGCCTCTCCGCAAGTCCTTGTGGAGCGTGGAAGTGAGTTCGGCTGCCATCTCTGTCCAGATCTTTCAAGAGTCATTTATGATGAAATTACATTTTTGAAGGCTTTGAAGTTATTGAGACGTTACCGGATTCGCACAAGTATGCGGCATCTGTGGCGAATGCTGATGGACCATCCTTCAGCCGCGCTGTGATGCGAGAGATGAAGTTGTTGAAGACTTCGCTGCCGAAAGGCATTCATGTGCGCGCCTTCGAAGACCGACGGGATGTGCTTAGTGCTGTGATTGAAGGCCCCTCTGGAACTCCGTACGAGGGTGGACTGTTTTTCTTCGACTGTCAGCTGCCTCCGGATTATCCTTCGAGTCCACCGCGTGTTACCTATATTTCTTACGTGACGGATCGGCTCAACCCTAATCTATACGAAGAGGGAAAGGTGTGCGTTAGTTTGCTGGGGACGTGGGATGGTCGTGGATCCGAGCTTTGGTCGAAGGACTCGAGCCTGCTCCAGGTTTGTTATACTCAATATCTCTTCCCTTGGGCTTAATTCCGCACTCATCGGAATTCCGTAGTTCGTACGCGGATCTGCTGTAGAAAAGCCATTCATTTCGCACGCTGTTACTAATGTCAATTTTTAGGCACGAAATCTTACGAGAACCATGATTCTTATCGAGGGTTTTGTTGCTTGGTTTACTGCAACGCACTGATGTAAAACGATCATATAAGTTATCTGTTCATAAAGTGGCAAGAAAATACATTAATTTCAATTTATCGGAAACTTCGCCGAGTACGGTCAGTAAATTATGCATCTAGAGATATGCTGTAAAATGATGAGGGATGTAACTTGTATCGAAAGAGGAAGTTTTTGAATGATTAGGCATCGTAGCAGAAATTAAATTAATATCATTTACTCTTTGTTTTCACTTCCTCGTTCAAGACTACTGTTTCTGTGATTCGCTCGTTTGAACATTGCTTTTCCAGACTTGCGCTTCTGATGCTCACCCGCGATAGAAGGTAGCTTTTGCAATTGAATGTTTTGGCTATCGACCGAGAAATTTTTTTCCTAAAATGGTTCGCGTATTTGTTTCATTTCCAGGTTTTGGTAAGCATTCAAGGATTGATTTTGAATAAAGAGCCGTACTACAACGAAGCTGGCTACGAGAAACAAAGAGGCGAACGTCTGGCTGCGGAAAATTCGCGCAAATACAACGAGATGGCCGTGATGAAAGTTGTTCAAGCTATGGCCCGTTTGACTGAACAAGGATTGCCCTCTATTTTCGAAAACGAAGTTAAAGAGTTCTTGCGGAAGCATGGACATCCGTGAGTATCTTTCATGTTCTGTTTGGACCTAACTTTGGGTGTCTCTTGGTAATCTTGGGGGGACGGAACTTTTTGAGATGAATGTGGGGATTTTTTGGGTCCCTTAAGTATGTTTTTTTTCCTTCATTTTTGCACCAAGTAATCAATTCAAATTGTTGCAGGACTATAAAGAGAATCAACAAATGGGTGTCAGCCGGCGAACTTGCAGAAGATGGACCGGATTTTCCGCTGTTACCTCTGTCGAAGGGTTGCGTCCTTTGTATAGAACGTGCTCTAAGCAGCTATGCCCAAGGCTTGAGTGCACTTGGCTTTGAACCTCAGGAATAAGATTTCGACGATGTCGTGCAATCTAAACGCGATCCCTGTGCGGGGAAATCGGCTTTTCCCGGAGCTTTATTACTTTCTCCTCTCCGTTGAAGCATCGTTATTGAATGATTAGTCTGATTTGTGTTTTAATCGCCGTTTTCATTCAGCTGTGATTTATGATTGGGAGGGTTAGTTGGAAAAGGAATAAGAGCTCTTGGCCATGGTGGAATTGAATTTTGCATTTCCTGGCAGCGTGTCTACGAAGAGATATCGGGAAAAACTTTTGTTACTGCGAGTAGCCGTGAAAAGTTCCGTGGTCTGAGTCAGCTTTCTGAGTACCATTCGCGAAACACAGCTCAAAACTCGTGTGTCCACCCGATTGAATTTGCAGCAAGAAATGGATTCGATTTCTTGGAATTTCCGATCTCTTTTCGTTTCTTGCTTAACCGAAGGAGCCATTCGTATTCGTTTAGTGAACGTTTGTCTGGACCAGTTCTTATTTTTTCAGACAAACATGGGAAGGCAAAGAGGAAAGAAGGTGAAAGTGCAAAAAGCTTGCGCAGAGCAGGAAGATGAATCGATTATGAAAGCTCCCCATTCGTTTGTTATTCACCGCGGACAAGTTTCACAGCACGTAGAATGCTTGGTACGAGATATTCGAAAAATATTCGAGCCCTTCACTGCATCGCAGCTCAAGGTGAAGAAATCGAATTCCATCAAAGACTTTCTGCAAATTGCTGGAATATTCAGTGTCAATGCGATGACAATATTATCTCAGACCGAACGTGGCGTCAACATGAAGATCGGTCGGATTCCACGTGGGCCTTCTGTTACATTCAGGTACTCCTCAATTCGTGCTGGTTGTGAATTTCAAGCGAGTAACCGAAGTATTGGATTTTTGCAGAGTGAAAGAATATGCATTAGCTCGTGACGTGAGATCGTCCATCAAACGTCCTCTGGTTTACGAAAGGTTGGACATGTTTCCCCCGCTTTTAGTTCTCAGTGGATTTGGAGCAGGAGGAGACAAAAACCATCTGCTTTTGATCTCCAAAATTTTCCAAGGAATGTTTCCTACAATCAACGTCACAAATGTAAGGTTATTCCAGTGGCTTTCCTGCTGCTCCTGAAGCAATATATTTACTTGATTCCCAGGTGGAGTTGAAGAAAATACTTCGTGTTGCCCTCGTTCATTATGATCATGAAGAGAATGTCATCACCCTCAGACATTATGCCATCAAAGTCGTTCCAGTGGCAAGTCGTGCTGTTAAAAAATTGGTCAGCAACAGAGTACCCGATCTAAGCAAGTACCAAGATGTTGAGGATTTCGTGGCAAGGTAGCTCACTGATTATTTACTGTTCAACTTTTCACATATCGATTTGATCAAGCCTGATTTAATTGGAAAGTATTCCAATGCTATCTGAACATCTTTATTTAAACCTGAGGTAACTCGAATTGACGTATGAATGTGAATATCACGCTGTTAATTTAATTTCAGAGGAACATTCCAGTGCTCGTTGGTAGCATGCAAAAATATATTTCATAGGATCATCGGAAAAGTGCACCCATGCACGTAATGAATTTGTGAACAACTACAGTATTTGAACATTTGCATGCAGTTTAGCGTAATCTCGACCGATGAAGAAAACTTTCAAGTCGCTTTTTAAAATTTGTAATAGTACAGTACTGTATAGTAATCCGATGCTGTATTGATATTGCTTGCAAGTTTTACCTCGCATCAAAAAAAAAATCCAACCTTCTATTAAGGCTTGTCTTCACTGTGATGTATATTCAACTTCTGATTATTTTTTCAATTTAAAACTACGTCGATATTTCCTCGATACTTGGCAGTAGTTAGTGATATTTCGTGTGGTGTAGATACTCAAGAACATTTTGTCCGAAAAATCAGCTTTGCTATAACATTTTGTCAGTTTGATGAGCATGATGAATAATGGTGCGTCTTCGTTTCTATTTTTTGTTATTTGTGTACGAGTAATTTTGGCACCTCTCGTGGGTCCTCGTTTCGATGCATTGTTTTTTTTTTTGCAACGATTGTCTAGTTCTCTCGTGAATTTTTCTACTTGGCGTCAGCTTTGACGAGTTCAGTAAGTCAGATGATCGATAGAATTCGAGACCGACGTTCATAAGTAAACAATATTCCTTGAATCCATTGCAATAACAGCTTAAAGCTTTCTGCGGCCTAGTTAGTTGGTTGGTTGGTTTTGTTCTCCAAACTGAGTTGTTCCTTTCCACAGATGTGGAATGCTGTCTGAAAGTGAAGGGGAGGATGATCCAGAAGCGCACGTTGAATTAGCGCAAGAAGTTAATCAAAGAGGGAATGTACCTGCCCAAAAATCCTCCATCCGATTGATCGAACTTGGGCCACGCTTGAAACTAGAGGTCATGAAAATTGAAGAGGATTTATTCAAAGGTGAAATTTTGTATCACTCCATTGTTACGAAGTCTCCAGAGGAAAGAGAGCGGATTCGGCTTGGTCGAGAGGAGAAGAAGTAAGCTTTGACATTGTTGAAATATTTCGAATGGTCGGTATTCAATGTTTCATTTTCTCTCCCAAGACGCCTGAAAGATGAAAGAAAACGTCTTCAAGAGGAGAACATCAGAAATAAACTCGCTCAGGAGAAAACGGAAGATAATGTTCCTGCGGATGCCGACGAAGACGACGATAACGACAAAGAATGGTTCAAAAAAGAAGTTGGTGCAGAACCTGATGCGGAACTTTTTCCGCTTCAGCAATCTGGTTCAAGAAAACGAAAAACGGATAATGAAGACCCCGAAGCTCGTATGAAAAAGCGGAAGGAAGAAGAGAAGAAACGACGAATAGAATTCGAAAAGAAGATGAAGAAGCTCAAGGCCAAGAAGAAGCACCGTCAACTTGTTGGATCAAAAAGACATAAGAAAAATAGTCGTGCTCCGAAAAAGTAAATGTCATGTTCGGAAAGGATATTTCGTGCTGACGATTTTCTTGAACAATCCGTGCATTATCCTCCTCGCAAAAATTACCAGGTTAGTTTCGAAAGCCTAATAGATGTCTAAAAGAATTAATGGAATGGTCGAAAGTTTTCGCAAATCTACTCCATTTTTGCCTCAGATTGATCCAGTCGTCTCAAAGGATCAGTGTATAGATTTATTTCTCTGAGCTTGTTTATTTGAGGTCAAAGACCGGAGGATAATGTTCGACGCGTTCTTTTATTTCCTCTTCTGTTTGTGCTGAACTCCAAGAAAATGTTCTTTCATTTTTCAGACTTCAGTGAGTGTTTTGTTGTGAAAAAAAGCGAGATATGGGGAAGAAGAAGAGTAAGAGGAAGCCGCCACCGAAGCGCCGCGCGATTGAGGCGCTTGACGTGCAATTCAATTGTCCTTTCTGCAATCACGAGAAATCTTGTGAGGTGAAATTGGACAAGACGCGTAACACGGGAAGGGTGAATTGCACGGTGTGCCTCGAAGATTATCAGACCACGATAAATTTTTTGTCGGAAGCGATCGATGTCTACAATGATTGGATCGACGCCTGCGAACAGGCCAACTGAAGACTTCCATCGATCGATTCGGGAGGTCCACGAATCGCTGCGCGTGTGGATCTTGAATTGCGTTCTTTTCATGTTGATGATTTGCAAACATTTGATTTCGTTTTCCTTTTTCGGGAAGTAAAAATTTTGCGGCTTTTGGTTTCAGTCGTATTTGAATTGAAGTTCAAAAGTGGAAGTGACTTATCTTTGTTTTGCATCACCTAATTAAATATATTTGACTTTGATTTGTTTTCTGTTTTTTTATATATTCTCGAGTCCACTGGCAGTGATCTTGTAGACTAAGTAGAGCTTTCGTGATTTAGTTGAATTCTGCTCTAAATTTTTAGGGAAAGAAATAGGATCGATTTTATGGATAGATTCGAGTGGTGCGACGCAGTCCTGAAGTTGGACGAAAAGCTCGTGGCTAAGCAGGTGGACGTCAAACTGTACGATGGGGAACAAGCTGTGAGTACTGAAGTCTAGACTAATGAACGTGTCCGTTATTCTTTTCTTTCCATTTGGTTTTGATTCTGTGAAAAGTAACAGGTGTAATGCTTACGAATTTCGTTAGTAGAGTATTAATAATGCTGTGTTTCGTATGTCTTTTCTTCAGGGTTGTTGTGTACATTGTATATTGAGGTAGATGTCACCGCCAGCAAGTGAAACGCGATTTTGCACGAAGTTATTCCGACGTCCATCTGATTGTTTTTTTACATGGTTGAAAAATTACGCCATCGTGCAAATGCATAATTTTCAAAAATCTTCCTGCTGTAAGGGATTCTTCTCCACCTTTGGGACGTGTTCGGAAATTTTCTCGTATCCATTTCACCTAGAAGATAAAGAGTCGAGAGTCAGAACTTTTTTACTGCGAAGTTACATTGTGCACACCCGAAAAGTATGCGCGTTTTATATTTCGTAGTTTTGAATTGGATTGTCTGAGTGTTTTTCGTTTTTTTTATATCTTTTTGTTCGGGCATAGACAACTTTTGAAAAAGGAGAAGCTGTTTTGACGCCTTATCGCTTACTCTGGAGGTCACCGGGGCAACACAAGGGACTAGCATTGAATCTTAATTTGGTGGTATTCGTGGATGATGAATCTGCTACGTTTTCCAAAAGTGCCAAGATAGTTCTGCACTTGGCCAGAGCTCCTGCAGGTTAGTTGAAGTACGACGGTCGTCTTGTGTTCGAAGAAAATATCTCACACTCCCTAATTTTTAGAAGAACGTGGAAAACACGCCGACAGAACTATTGTAAATGTTTTTTACACATTAGTACAATCCTTTTTTCGGCGAAATATCGGGAAAGGCGTACGAGGTACACGAGTAAATGCCAAATTTAAAGCTCTCAAAAATGGAAACTAGGTATGTGATTTAGAATCATGTTCATGTTGACTATGAGTGTCTTGAGTTGATGCATTTCTACGCGTATGTAGGAAAGGAACCTGGACCAGTGGAACAGAGTGGTTTTTCACACGTAAAGCTTTCAATTAAACAATCAACTGGAGCAGCCAGTTTCAGCGTGAAACTGAAGGAAGTCTTGGCTACTGGTGCATGGACCAGTAATAATGTGATATCACAAGTTCGTGGAAGTAGCCAACCACGCAGTGGGGCTGTCGGAATACTTGGAATCGAACGTTCTATTGAAGCGAGACATGCACAGACGGATAAGAATATTTCAAAAGCATTTCAGGTTTGTAAACTGTGTTTGTACATTGCTCGAGTCGGTGGAATAGTTTTTCTTGCTTAATTTTCCTAGCATTTCCTATTCGTGATTTCCGGGTCTGTTGAAATTTTCGCACATGTATAGTTTTTATACTGTACTTGAATTCAAACGAAATTCTAATACAGGTACTACTCTTCAAATTTTAATTTGATTACCCACTCATCGACCTGGTAAAGACTACGTAAATTGAATAGGTGACACAGCGGGATACTCTTTTTCTCCGTAAAATGAATTTTATTAGGTTTTCTTCAATACTTATCATATTCATTTCTGTCGACCAAAAAATCGCTCGTTTCGGGGTTTTTCTTTTAAAAATGTTGAATGGCCAAGATTGTATTTTGTCGAAAAAATAGCTTGTATGTTCAAGAATTTTCCGCTAATTTTTCTTTGACGAAAAATTCTTCATCTTGATAAACTTATGTTGGAATATTTTCCAGGATTTGAAGGTTTTAATGACGATGGCTTCCGAGATGGTGAATCTATCAAAAAGCATATCTCAGAAAATGCGGGATCGCAAAGGATGCGTTTCGGAAGACGAAACCGTGGAGTTCAAGTCTGCTTTACTCCGTCTGGGCGTTAGCAACTCTGTAATATCTGACGCCGGGGCAAAGACTGGGTCAGAGTACTCCCGTGGGCTCGCAAAAGAAATGTGTGTGATTTTGACGAAGCCTTTGGAAGATTCGAAGGGCATCATGCCGCTAACGGATGCATACTGCGTGATGAACCGGGCCCGTAGTCTAGCCGGGCTCGTTTCGCCCGAGGACTTTTTGGCGGCGTGTGAGCAGCTCCGCGATGCGACGAGGACCTCCGCGAACCCGCTGGTATTTAAGGCGTATCATTCCGGGCTCAAGTGTGTCCAGTGGGCGAGACTTGACAACGATGACGTCGTGATTGATGATACCATGAAGCACGTATGTCCTCGTTTGATGCTGGCTGTTTCCTCCGGGGTCTGTCTGACTCTCTTTCTTCTAATCCTTTTAAAGTTCGCGTCGGAGAAGTTCATTACGGCTGAGCATCTGGCTAAAATCCTGGGCATTTCTGTGGTTCTGGCGCAGCAACGGTTGGTCTTATGTGAAGAGAAAGCGCTGGCGTGTCGTGACGATTCAGCGGAAGGATTGCGATTTTATCCGAACAGATTTTTGTATCCATGACTGGCTTTATTTTTTATGTGAATTTTTCTTGACACATTCTGATTAGTCCATTAGATTTCTGTGATTCTTTTTTTGTGGAGAAGGTACCGAATGAAAGAATTTACTGTTATTTATTGCGGTTTTATGAATTCCAATAGAAGTGGCGAATGCCTCATTTACTCGTTTACGAAGCATATTTTATTTTCTTGAAGGTGCGGTGTAAAAAACTTCGATTCGCTCCATGTATGAAATTCAAGTCTAATGCGTAAATTATATCTTTTTTATTTTTGGGAAATCAAGCTTTGGATACGAACACATTTACTGACATCACGCTCCCCATAGTGAGACGCGTCCCATATTTTCACAAGGATACAGTATTGCAAAGTTATGCACGATGGATACCTACTTTTTGCATGCCAAATTTAGGGAGATTTTCATGGATTACACACGTGAGTGTAGAATTCATAAAAATGTTGAAGTAATACCTGTCGAGTTTCAACACAGACGTATTTTAAGAAAATATTGATCCATTGTGCCATGAACCTTGCCTTAGACTTGTATAGATATCCTCATGTTCTGAAATTTTGGAATTATGCGAGGTAGAAAATTGCACGCGCTTATCTGGTGCCATAAATTAGTGGTCTGAGCTTGCGAGCCGTGTCAGAATAGAAAGTACTGTACCGGTTTATGTTCGGCTAACGAAGAGCTGACTCGAAATTTAGAATGAACGTGATGAGCATGGGTGGTCGTCTTCCCGGTTTCAACGAGTTACATTCTTACATGCTTCCTAGTTCTCTTGCGAGCCTTTTCTTGAGCTCGCGAGCGTACCTTCATTGTAGTATTCAAGGACCGACTGGTTTCTTTTCGCATAGTTTTATTTATATCCTTCAATTCATCCCTTTTTTGCACAGTTGGAAACATATATTCTTTCAAGGGGAGCGAACATAATTCATGGAGTACAGTACTGGGTGATGCAATGAAGCTATCCAGTAAATGGGCTGATGCTAGTTAGTACCTTAGATAAAATTCGGGTGCACATGACGTGATTTTAGAAAAACTGAACCACGCGGGTAAGTACAATACACGTAGGAAAACGCAACGTCACAGTAAAAATTTTAGAACTACTGTATATGTCAGAATGAATCCAAGGATCCAATTATGGAATGATATCACGAAGATCTCATAAATTTCTTACTGTTTTCATCAGTCGTCAGAAACAACAATTCACTGATGTGTGGGATGTTCAATTGCTCACCAAAAGAAATACTGTATAAGGTTCACAAATGATGAAAAACGTCAGACGTAGCGAGGATTTATCGCTTGGGATAGCACATATTTTTTTGCTGTTGGTATTGATATTCAGTTACATTCTAGGAGTGCTGATGGAAACATTTTCGGCAATGAGAATTTGGAAAACTCATTTCATTGAGCCGGCGATTAGCTACTCTTTTTTTAATCTCTTTAATTCCATTTAGGCCTGCATTACGTTCTTCCCGGCTTCGTTCATTATTTTTTCTCGAATTACTGCATATCGCACCGCTGCTGAAAAGACCGGACAACGAATTGAGGTATTTGAGTGAGAAATTTGTTTCTGTTTTACGGAATCCCTGGTTTTAATCAAATAAGAGTAAGATTGTTGCGGTGTTATCTCCGGGAGCATTCCAGAAAAGCCATTCCGAAACAATAAGTATGAATTCGTCCCGGATCGGATTTAAGGGCTTCATGCTGGGAATGAGAGGTTCAAGAGCGAGCATTTATAGAGTTCAGAGGTCAAACATGTGCATAGAGTTAGTGTATATCTTCAACGGCGTGACCTAATAAAATGTATCTGAGAAGAGTAAACCGGTTTGTAGAGTTCTCCGGACAAAGCAGCAGTTGAGCATTCGCAAGCGGAACTCCGGCGATCGTAAAAAGGATTGTCGAAATTGCGGAAGCTACAACAAAGTCTGAGAAGCCAGCACAGCAGCAGGGTTGATGTTCTGTCCACTATAGTAATCAACGCACAAAGTCTCAGCGTTTGATGGGCCTGGTTATCTGCATCAGGAAGAATCCCGTTACGACTCGGCTGTCCGCCTTGAGTACAGCGGAAACAACGCGCTTCGCGGAATGCCGTAATGAGGCGTCTATATATACAATATATATATTTCGGGGTAAATGAAACTGCTCGCTCCAGATGACAACAGGTTACGCATGTCGCACCAAAAGCAGTGTATTTCCTCAGCTGCGCAATTCGCAGGACTGAGTTCTGATGCCTTAGATATCGTGTTAATCACACTGAATTCAAGTACAGTACAGATGATATCCGAAACCTCCATCGTATACTCCCTTCTCTCCAGCACACGTCCTCCATCAACGATTCATCCCGCCTGTCTTACAAATGAAAATTTCAATTTGTATATAGGCTTTTCCATCTTGGACATCTCTTTCCCGCACGAAAATATTAGGCATTCTGAAAGTTTGAGATTTAATTTTTGAGGAAAAATTTACAGGTATACCATCAACTTGGTGCTTAAAGACGACATTTTTTTCTGATCTTTTTAACAATTGACCAGCGAAAGTTTAAATTTTACTCTTTCCTGATTTTGCTGTAGTTCCAAAAAAGATGTATCAAAGTTTCGTCGAAAAATCCAGGTCAAATCGCAATTATATTACTTTTGAAACATGCAGGTTGGAGTATATTCACAATCTTTCCTTTGCTTGGTTTTCCATTGAAAGCTCATGTTCAGGTGGTGCATGAGAAATTAATGATCCCACCCACTGCGAAAGAAAAGGCAAATAAAATATCAAATTACTCATCTTTGGCATATAAATGCTGATCAATTCTACTTTCTTACACAGCATTCCTGTTCGAATCTTGTGATGTTTCTTGTACCAATATTCCCATGACGTTATTGGAGCCAATGGAAAATGAATCACCAATTTTATATTTATCCTCAAAAAGAATCAAATGCTGGTTATTTGTTAAGTTGTCCCCTCTGGAGATTAATTTTTGTTGTTGTTGTTGTTTCAGTGTTGCCAAAATGAGTCAGTACTGAATTTGATTTTTTAAAAAACAGGAAATAATTTTTTAAACTTGTAATCTAGTGTCTGTGAATTTCTGAAGCACAGAATGGGCATTTATCCAAAATTCTGCAAATGTAATGCATCGTTGTGACCCCTTTGATTTTTGATTCATCATATTTTAAAGAATATACAGATGAGTATATACAACTTTTGATGATAAAGAAAAGACATGATTTTGGTACAAAAACATCCCAAGTGGGGAAATTGGTGCGCACTGGGGATTTGTTTGTAATTCTACACAGTGACCCTGCTGTGCACCTGAAGTGTACCAAAGTTCTTCTGTTGCACATGCATATCCCCAATGTGCACCAATTGTGTGTTCACACCAGGATTACTCAGGGTCACATTTGTGAACAAATAAGTTACACCAAGGTTACAGCTGGTGCATTATTATTTGTGTGATGCTCATGTTATTTCACATTTGTGCACCAAGTGTAACCCTGGAATGGTAGCAAAATTTCCTCTACAGGAGTGCACACTTGTACCCCCAGAATATCCCATATTCTCCAGTTGTGACCCTGGTGTGCACCTACTGTGGGGTCACA